TGTATGGGTCTTTGAGTAAAAGAGGCTCGATACATTTTACCTGTATTTTAAAAATCATGTTTCAAATCTCTTTTCTTCACAGCTTACTGTGTCCTGCTCCATCACATTATATTTTATTCAGCTACAGTAACGTTTGTGGTTGTGATGTGATAACATACATTTCAACAGGATATATACTTTTGCAATGTAAAAGCAATAGACCAGAGTTTTTGCTCACTAGTGCAGGATGCTTTATGTATTGCAGGGCATCATAAAGGTAGAATGTATTCACAATATTTTTTCAAAATTGGCAGAGATATCACCATGAATCTGAGTAAACTCAATGTTCACCCATTAGAAACAGTCTGTGTTTGGGGGAAAAAAGGGGCTTTAGTTAATTAGTAATGAAAGTGAAAGTAGCCATAGGTTATTAGAGCAAAGCACCGTCTCACAGAAAGGTTGATGAGGATGGTTTGCTCTGAAAGGTGAATCGAAATTAAAAATATTAAACTCACATATTGTTCGAAGGCACACCTTCCTCTGTTCAGAATCTCAATTTCATGCATGCCTTGGGGGAAGTGCTACACCATATTTAAAAAAATTGTAAGTTCACTAGTCACATTTTTTTTTTCTGTTGAAATGAGTTAAGGAACCAGCACAGGCAGGAATAAGAAGAGACTTGGATGACAGAGAGGAGACTGCTTGGCTCTGTGCTCCGATGACAGACCAATTTTCAAGCCGAGTTGAGATCTACTGAGACTGCAAATGAACAGAATATCTCAGACTGATGGTTCGCCTGAAGAACTCTGCCTTTTGAGAGCCACTATTATAATTCTGTCCAAGCACCCAGAAAAACTGTAAAGTTTTGACAGCATTATGAACTAATAAGGTAGCTAATTGGCCAAGAAAAATGTTGTCTCATAATTCCTTCCAACTAATTAGTGAATTTTTAGGGAGGATGCTTCCAGACACAAAGTTGTGCATTTTATTTCCTCATATTTTGAGGAAATTATCTTTATCTTCTCATCTTTTTGATGTAATGCTGTAACCAAATTCTTAGAAAGCAGGGTTCCGTTTTACAGGCCCTGAATAAGAAATAATTTCAATAGAAACTGTTTGACAACATGAAGTAAGCAAATAGCACATTTTCTGAAATTATATACAAACTGAGGAAATGTAAATAAGTAGTGAACCTTTGCAGAAGAGGCCAGCATACCTATATTTCTCTACTTTGAAGAAATTTTTGTGGAATACTCTCACTTAAGACTAGAGTAAATTATTCATTAGGACACTTGGCAAAACTGGCATTAGTGAGAGAGTTTTAGGGTAAAAAAGAGCAGATTATTTTAGATTATTAATCCTCTTTTCACAGCCTTGTACTAGAAATTAGTCCAATAACCCGCCAGTATAATAGCACAATTGCATTTAGTTGGACTTGTTGTTTTGAGAATATAGATCATGATTGTGAAAAGTCTTACCAAGAACGACTGTCTTTTCTGCTAAATTAATGCACTTATATTGAATCTTCTTAAAAGAAGAACAATCTAACTGTATCTGTCTGCTTTGTGTATCAATCTCAAAACAAAATCAAAAAGACTTTTTGGCCATATGTAGGATTTTAAGACTTTTACAGGCTTTGAAAAGCCAAAGGAAAAAAAAAACAGGAACTGGAACGGCTTAGTCAAAGCCAATACTTACATGAAAGAGATTTTGGATACGTTACACAGGTCTTTAATTTTCACCATCCTCCTTATGAGCTTCATCAAAGCCATTTTACAAACAAGACATAATTCATTGCCATCGAGATAACAACTATTGTGCAACCAGGTTTTTGTTTAGGAGGCAGCAACTTGTTCAGAAGGCCAGGTTAGTTTGGTACTTTTTGTCTTAAATCAAAACATTCTACTTACCATTGACTCCAGATATTTTTTTATCTAATATTAAAATCTGTGTTGAGATCTTAAAAGCTGAAGGTGAAACAAAAAAAAAAGTAAAAACAGAGGCAAGCTGTCAGAGTGTAAATTCTATTTCATGGGCACTTTAAAGAGAACTGATAAAATATTTTTCAAAGCTTTCATCTCTGCTTTGTACTCGTAACTTGCATAATGACCCAACATATTTCTAAAATGAAGCATAATCATTTGAAACACTAAATTAATTCAACTTAATTTTAATAAGAGCATGGCATGAATTTCTAGCAGCTCCTTGATGCTCAGACATACACGTACGCACCTGCGTTTAAATATTCTCAAGGTGAAGCGATGAGCTTTTCTCCTAGGAGCTTTACAGCACACCTCTGACAATTGACGCTGATAAATCAAAGCAAAAACCAATCCAATAGCTGGGAGAAACAAAAAAGGGAGTTTATAGTGTTTACTTTTATGGAAGGAGGAGCCCTGTGGATTGCCTGTTGCAGAAGTTTCATGCAAACAGTTACCGTGGTGCCAGTTATATTTCTGCAAATTATTTAAAAAACCTGAGGGAACCTTTTTAACTTTTTTTTTCAGCCTCTCCTAGATTGTTCATGAGGCCTATTAGATGTTAATGATGTGCTTTACAGATGCACAAGCTTTAATCACAATGAACTGCTTGAGGCGTCGGCTGCTTTGAGGAACAAACGATGCAGCGTTGATGATTCACTTGTCATTTCAAATCAGGTGCTTGTGAAAATCTTGTAAGAAAAAGAGAGATAGCTACTTAATAATTGGAAGAAATGGATTTGAGAGGATTAATCTAATTTAAAGCCAAACTTTTTCCCATAAATATCTGTAGAGGTAACATTTTTAGTGGGTTACAGCGTTTCCTCAAGGTGGAAGACCAAAGATAAAAACAGGCTTCTATCACCTTTGTAATGAGCTGGAAAAAGCAGCAGTTACCTCCTTCTCTCTTTTATACGGTACAGATTTAGATTTATACGGTTCAGCTTTACAGTGAAATGAAATGAAATCAGCTCGATGACGGTAGAATAGAGTAGAGTCTGCACTTGCAGTTCATGTCAGGTCAGTCTTTGTATTCACCGACCATTGGCAAATAAAATGACCCATCAGACGTCCATGTTTCAAAAGTGACCTCCTTTAAGACCAAGATCATAAAAGAATGTGGTGACT